TTGAACTTTCTAAATTCATCGTAATCTGACTATACATAAGCTGAAACTTACCTTTGTGTCACCTTCAAAAATAACCCCAAGCTGAAGGTAAAAGCACAATAGAGAGAGAGGGAAGCAATCGTCACAGTGACTGACAATAAGCTATGGATGGCTATACTGGGATAGACACAGAGGATGCAGTCCTAGAACTCAGGCCCTACAAAGAGAAACTATGTGAGACAGGACTTTAGAATAACAGTCACTTACAGACAAACACTGATTGGACTGATGACAATTATTCTTCTGATGTTAGCCCAACAAGGATTGCAAAAGATGCCAACATTTTGAGCCTCATTATCTGTAAAGAAGACCTTCAACACACATGCTTGCGTTGTTATTAATTCCTCAGCCAGGACATCAGAGCCAAATTGGAAGAGGACACAAAGGTGAGACTCAGTTTATATGAAAGATAACAGAAATAGGTCCCAAACAGATCTGGAAACAGAAATAGGATGCAAACAGATTACTTGGGTCTGTTAAGATGAACTTTAACTGAGATAAATACAAAACTAACACTTAGGTCCAAAAAATGAACTGTACTCTTTAATGCAGAAATGTGGTTAATGGAGAAATATGTGGTTTAACAGGAGCATCTGTAGAGAAACAGTTCAGTGTTTTGGCTGACTGCATGTTTGGTATGAGTCACAGTTTGTTTGGTATAAGACTGCCAAAAGCAAAAAAAGGCAGCAAAACAAAACTCAAAACAAAACCTAAAACAAAACCAATGTGGTCCTGGACAGCATAGCTATAGAGTGCTAAGGCTGAGGGGGCTCTTAGAAAGCATCTTCCATCAGTTTAGACCCTGGGACCAAGGAAGGGGCCAGCCCACCTTGCTCTGCTCTGTCCTGGGCAGACACTCTTGAGGAATGGGCTTGTCGGGTTACAACCCTCCACTGGGATAGGAACCAGTGAAAACTAAGCAACACAGTGAGAAGCTAGTGATCAAAGGAGGGAAATAGAAGGGTTAAGGCTGCTGAAAAAGTAAAAATTCAAAGGAGGGATGACAGCTGGCTCCTAACATTTAAAGGACTTATTATATTATAACACAAATTGCTGGGCCCCATCTCCAGAAGTTCTCATTCTGCTGCTCAGAGAGGTGTCAGAACGTGCATTTCTAACACGTTCCCAGCTGATGCTGATGCAACTCGTCTAGGGACCACACTTTGAGAACCACTGCTCTAAGTTACAAACTTGTACTTTGTTTTTTTAATACTCTGTAGTTATAAGATTTTAGTACAAATAGCCTGTTTCTCAGTAAGTCCAAATTAGGGAGAATTTATTGGTTTTGAGGTCTCATACATTTGTATTTAAGATTATGTTCTTTCCCAAACTTCATATTGCTTAGCAGAACCTCAATCTTTACTTTCTGACCCTTAACGCTTCCTGTTAGTTTAGCTTCATAAAGCAGACTTCTGTTGCTGCTTCATTTTCTGGCATTTTATATAACAGACAATTTTTCCTTTGGTGTTCTTCCACTCTTCCTGTATTTTTCTATTATGTTCAGCAGATCAAGCTTCATAACATATGAAGTTGTGAGCCACTTTTATCAAGTGACATCTGGCTTCCCACATCTTCTAAAATAGTAAATACTGATCCAGTCCTTTTCCCAAAAGCCCACACTGAGCCCACCATTCCCAGGAACCTATTAGGACTGTAACAGCTGCATTCAATTCCTAATTAATTTTATTTTCTATTGTATACTTTAAGCTTCAGTCTTTGGATCCCACTAGGAAAATTACTAGCATATGGGAATGCATATAAATGACATGTAAAGCAATGCAAATTAATACAAAACATACATCTATAAATTTCTTGGGAAAAATCTATAAGCTGCAATGTTGATATTATCTGCTTTGCTTCACTACACACTAGCAAGCAGTGATTGGATCCTTTTATTACAATTTCATACAGCACCCAGCACCTGACACTTGGTGACATGCTAAGTGGAAGGTGCCCATGCCTTTGCATCAGGCAAATAGGATCCTGGCCTTAACTTTGCCACTCTTTGGCTCTATGGCCTTGGATAGATTCTCGAAATTCTCTGGGTCTTAGATTCTACAACTGGAAGTGATAGAAATGGCATCATCATAATAAAACCGCCAGTACTAAGGCTTACTGAACACTATGTGCCATGCATAATGCACACATGATGCATACATTGTGCATGCATGATATACATGTGCAATCCTTGCAACATCCCACAAGGAGGTGCTACAGAGCATGTACCCCTAGGGTGTGGTACCCTTTCAGAGACCAGGAAACCAAGATAGAAAGGTCAGGAGGCTTGTGCCAGGTCTATAAGCAAGGGAGTGGCAGAGCCAGAACCAGGGGCTCAGCAGTCTCAGCGCAGGGGCCTTGCTCTTAGCCATGTGGCAGCTCTGTTGCGTGATCACCATCTATGTTTCTCCTAAACATTACATTAGAATAATCTGTGAAGTGAATCATGCACAGTCATCATATGTGCTACAAAATATTGTTTCTGTAAGATGTCGACAGTTTATGTTATACGAGTTTGATATCCAAATACCATCACAATCAGATTGTTTTCTACCCAAGGGTAAGAGGGCCAGGTATCCTGGATGTTCTACTTCTCCTTCCAACTTACTCCATACCAATCATATTAAAGTATGTCTAAAGCTCCCTCATCTTAAAACAGCCATCCCTCCATCCTATCTCCCACTCTGAGAGCAGCGTCCAGTCCTCAGCTACCATCCCCTTCCCCTCCTCATGCACCCCAGGCTTCAAACCCCACCCTAACACAGATGACCACCAGCTTTAGAGAGTCAGCCAGGGCTTTGCTCTAGACAGCCACTTGGGAAGCATTTCTACTTGGGAGCCTCGAAAGCTGCCCAGACTCAACAAAAGCAAACTTGTCTTTCCTCCTGAAACCTGCTCCTCCTCCAATGTTCTCTGTCTGTAAATAGCAGCACCCAAACTTGGAGTCACGCTGCTCTCTCACACCCTACACAGAGCTAGTCTCCAAGTCGCTTCAGAGTCGGTCTTGAATCCACCCGCTGTGTCATCCCTACTGCCACTAGGGCAGCCTCAACTGCCAGGCCTCTTGTACCCACCGAAACAGCCCATTTGCCTTAGGGCTCCTCAAATCCATCCTCCACACAGCAGCCAGAGTTTTGTTTCATTTTGCATCCACATCTCATCTGGAAACTGAAGATCCACTCCACACAATGGCCCCATGGCCTGGCATCCCCTCACCCTGGTACCTGTTGAGGTCTTTGGTGCCATTCTCCACTCTCCCTTTCCGCCAACCCTTCCAGCTCAGCTCTCGTCTGGTCTCAGCACACTCTATTCCCTAGGGTGGGAATACTCTCCCTTTTCTACCCCCTGATCCTTGGGCCACCTTCAACCTCCCCAAGAAGACCTCTGGCCTCCAGCCCGGATGTGCGGAGCTGCAGCTCACCTGTGCCCCACAGCAGCCAGTGCTCAACACATGTGGATTGACGAATTCACTTTGCAACTCTGCATTGCTCAACTGCACTATCTTATTGCTTTCTTCCTGTCTCCTAGCCTAAGAAGCAAATCCTTTGAAGCTGTTTCAGTTTTATTCCTGGTATGTGGTGCCATGATAAGCCCCAGGTCACCAGGTCATGCTCCTAACACCAGTGGCTCCACAAGGGCAAGGCAAGAACACAGTCAGGTACAGACTCTACCTGCCTTCTCCCCTCCTTCCTGCCTGGAAAATGAGTTCAGTTTGGGAAGTACTTATAGTTATGGGCTGCTTATCCTGAAGGTACTTAACCCAGTGCCATCAAGTGCCAACTCTGACCTATTGCCCAATTGTGCCGTTCTGCCCTACCTATCTCTGTATAGGAGATGTGACTTTTAGCCACGTTACCATACACTCTCCCACGCACCCAAGGAAAGAGTACGAACCTTCCCTCCCCACCCACCAAGGAAACACTCCTTTTAATGTTGGGGGAAGGAATTCAGTTGGCTATTACTTTGGCTATTACTTCTCTCCCGATACAAGTAAGAGATAATTCAACAACATCTCAATTGGTCATTTCTTACACAGAATTGGGTCCTTGGAAAACACAACATCAGGACTGCTCTCTGTAATGATTAAATTTTAAAGATTTTGCTTCCTCAAGACACTATCAACAAAAGCTGTCAAAACGGACTGTTAGTTTCTAGAATGTCTTATGCTGATAGAGGGTTTAATAACAGGCATATTTTATGCAAGTAAGATTTAAAACGGTGACTTCTACATCTACGGAACCACATGAGACACTTAAATGAATTAGTATTATGCCCAACTCCATTAATCTTCTGATTTGTTGCTCTTCAACTTTAAAGACAAGAAAAAGGAATTTAAAAATGCCCAGGGGCTACTATGCCCAGCAAGTGGACAATACAGACACTTCAGGCTCCGAAACCTCCCAGTCCTGTAAAGCTTAGCTCTTAAATTTACAAACCACTACCACCTGCACCATTTGCCTAAAGACGACGAAAGGACTCCAGAGTCCGGATCTCTTGGCTCAACCCCCAGGCTCCCAGCCGGCTGGGGTAGGTGCCGCCCCGCGCAGGGGGACCATCGGGGCCCTCTCTGTGACACGAAAACTTGACCTTAACAAGCGCCGAATCTTGTCCCTGGGAAGGGCGCGGCCTGGGGAGGGGCGGCCGGCACTTTCTGATCCCCGAAGAACTACTTAGACCTCCTCCCCATGCCCTAAGAAGCCACCGGAGCAGCCCCCTCTCGTCCCCTCGTCCCTCTCCCGAAGCCCAGGGGCGGGGGCTCTGGCAGCGTCGCCGGCCCCCAAGGGACCAGGAATGCAGAAAAGCTGCGGGCGGCTCCAGAGCAGCCCCCTCTCGTCCCCTCATCCCTGTCCCGAAGCCCAGGGGCGGGGGCTCTGGCAACGTCGCCGGCCCCAGAGGAACCAGGAATGCAGAAAAGCTGCGGGCGGCTCCAAAAGACCGGCGTGTGGGACCTCGGCGCCCCTCACCGGCGCGGGCGGATCGGGGTGGCGCTCGGCCCCCGAAGGGCCAAGACAGCGGGGTCCTCCTCCTCCTCCTCGCGGCCAGGGCGGGTTCGGGAGCCGCGTCCCCACCACTCGGAGAGAGTCCCGGGAAACCTTGGCGCAGACCCGCCCGCGACTCCGGCCTCGCCGCTCCGTTCCGCCCGAAAGCCCGGGGAGCCGGCGCCCGGGCCGCGCCCGGCATCTCCCCGACACGCTGGGCGCCCGCAGCCCTTCGCCCTCTCCCGGGGCTGGGCTCGCCGAACTTCGCGGCGGCTGCGGCCGGGAGCCCCGAAGTTGCGGCGTCCGCTAGGCGCACACGGGGGCTGCCCACCGGTCTGCGACTCTGTGTCCGCCCACCGGGTCACCCACTGGCGCCTGGCGCGGGGGCGGCCAGGGCTCAGCCCAGGATCCCGACGAGCCCCCGTCCCCACCCCCATCCCCGAGAGGGACGCGGCGCCGAAGTTTTCTCCGGCGGGAAAGTGAAAGTCGCGAGGAGCAGAGGGTCGGGGCGCCCGCGCCACCCCGCAGCTGAGAAGGAGGACCTGCGCCCGTCACCGCCGGACACCCCTAACCCTGGGCGCTCCTTGCTTCCCAGCGTGGCCAAGTCGACTTACGAAAGGGAGCGGGGCAGCCCCGAACGCGGCGTCCCCGCGGCTGCAGAGGTCGCCCCGGCGGGGACTGCGGGCTGCGCTCCGGCCTCCCAGCCCCGCGGCGGCGGCGGCGGCGGCTCGCTCCCGCCCTTCTCCTCCGTCGCCTTGCCAGGCAGTTGCTCTCCCTCGGCCCGGGGTGGGAAAGCGCCGAGCGGCCCCCGTGACGTGCGGAGAAAGGAGGAGCGCCGCCGCCGCGTTCCCGCTGAGGGAGCTCCCCGCCCTGCGCTCCCGGTCCCCGCGCAGTGCTTGGGACAAAGTTCCGAGGCGCGCACGGCGCGCTCCCTCCGGCCAGCGCTCACCCGACTCGAGCCGAGCCCCGACTCCCGCCGCTGCCCCAGTGTCACCCAGGTTCGGTGCCCTCTCACATCAAACGGACAAGAAATCCGAGGCCGAGAGAGCTAAGTGACTTGCCCAAAGTCGCTAAGAGAGCGGTGACAAAGCAGACTCACATCTGCGACTCCTGGCTTCCCTCAAACGCCGGGCTCTGCGAGGCTCAGGCCCTGCAGCAACCGCCCAGCCGCGGCAGAAGGGACGCTCCCTTCTCTCGGGCAAGGCGAGGAGTGTCCTGCGCAGCCTGGAGAAATATTATCAGCAGCCTGGGAAGGTGGAGCTTTTTGCCCAATAAATAGGGTCCAAAAGTTGTTTTTAAATCAGTGCCTACATGCCAAATAGCCTTCCCCTTTACCTTCAAGCGGGGATCAGGTGGCAGGCGGTTATCTGGGCCAATCTGGATCACCAAATAATTGCATGAAAGAAAGCACACACATACTTAACCAATTGAGCAATATCTAAGGCTCGGCCTTTCTAGCGAGTTCTTGAGACTATGCTAACTTTATAACGTGGATGCCTACGCTGTGCTTGCCATTCACGCGTTTCAGAGAGTCTTCTGTCAGGGTTCCACGTCCTTTCGGAGGCCAGGGGATTGCAGGGCCTGTCTTCGGAGGCAGGGAGTGGCACTAGGCAAGTCCATCCCCGTTGGTTTGTACCTTACTCCCTTCCTTCAATCCATGTTGACTGAGAGCCTGTGATAGGTATGGCTGGTCTGGTGGCCAATTGGCTAGGCTCTGGGACCCAGTGAATCTCAAAGAGAGAGTGGGCATGGGACCCCACATCCTTTACTCCCAGAACTTAGAGTTTGCACACATCAGTAGAGAGACTCTGAGCCTACCCTGTCAAATGTTTTAATTTCCATTTTACAGACTTAACTTTCAAACAAATGGCCAACTTTGCTTTTATCTCCTCCCCAGTGGGACCTCTGGAAGAGTTACTAACGTTCATCTAATTTACCCTTCCCAGGTCTTCTACATTTGCACACGATGATGATGATAAAAACTAAGGCTTCTGTTTATCCACCAAGGACACTGTTCTAAGCAATTTATGCAGACTAACTCTTTTCAATCCTCACAATTTAGGGAAGTGCTATTTTTATTCTCATTTTACAGATGAGAGGGAGGCAAGTGAGGTGGAATAACTTGCCAATAAGTAGCCAGAACTCAGACCCAAGTGATCTGTCTGGTGTCCATGCTCTTAACCACTGGGGAAACTGAGGCCTCCAGACTGGAATTCAAAGGGACCACCAGCCATCATCAGCCCCAGCTCACACCACAGGGGCTTCCAGTTATCCCACACAAGGCGTGCTAGGGAATCCGCACACACACTCTCACACTTTCTCCTGTAAGAGGTCAATTTTACTATTTTGAAAATAACATAAAATGGATATCATTCACTCACTTGTTCCCCCATCTCCAACTCCCAAATCAACCATTTTGTCTTAAACTGTTTCTGTGAAGAGACTTTAAAAACACCTTCAACATAAAGTTTGTAAATTCTGTTTTGGATTTATGCCCAGACCATACCCAGCTCCTCTGTATTCATCGCCTTCAATCACTCCCTTCCTTCCCTTAAAACATTGCTCCAAGCGGCCCCTCAGTTCTTCTGAAAGTGGGTTGCTCAAGGTGGGACAGTGGCCCCCAGAAGGGTGTCTGCCACACTCCAACCCTGCTCATTGTTCTCAGCATTCTTGTATTAGTTTACTAGGACTGCCTAACAAATTACCACAAACTGGTGACTTAAAACAATAGAAAGTTATTTCCTCACAGTTCTGGAGGCTAAAGCCAGAAATCAAGGTGTTGGCAGGGTTGTGATCCCTCTGAAGGCTCTAGTGGAGAACACTTCTCTGCCTCTTCCTAGCTTCCAGTAATTGCCAGCAGTCTTTGGGGTTCCTTGGCTTGCAGCTGCATCACTCCCATCTCTCTGCCTCTGTCTGTCAATCTCTGGCCTTTTCCTGTGTCTCCTCTGTATCCAAATTTCCCCCTCTTTAAGGCATCAGTCATTGGACTTAGGGCCCACCCTAATCCAATATGGCTTCATTTTAACTTGATTACTCTGCAAAAACCCTGTTTCCAAATAGGGTCACATTCACAGATTGCAGGTAGACATGAATTTTCAGGGAATTCTATTTATACCAGTACAATCGCCAAAAGTCACTGTTAATGAAAATATATTGCCTGAGCTGAGGATACAAAGAGGTGTAAATCACAGCCCTGCCCTCAAAGAAACTCTAGTTACAGAGGTAGGCCTTGCACTCAGAACATAAATAACAAAGACAGGAGATGCTAAGAGCCAACAGACTGGGGCCAAATGAGGATCCATGGGCCAAATGGCAGCTGTACTCAAGGAATTCAGCCAAGGAGAACAGTCACTGAGGATACCACAAGAGGTGAGGGTGATCCACACACGTCCTTGAAAGAAAAGTAGAAAAAGCAGTGATAAGAGAGGAGGGCTTATCAAAAGCACAGTTCCAAGGGGGAGGGTGTGCTTGGCAGAATCTTACTTCTGAAGTTTCATGCAGAAATGAAAGACCAAAGAAGTGCAAATACCTACCATGCTTAATATAAGAACATGGTGAATTACTTTTACTGGACTAATAGTATGCTGTAATGCCATAGCAATTAGCATGCTTTAAAGTACTCTCTCCTATCAGTAATTCCATCTCATCTTTATGACAACCCTGAGTGTCATCAGAGAAAGGCAATTATCACCAAGGAGCGTAAGGCTCAAAGAGGTCAAATAATTTGCCCAGGTCAAACAGTAAGTCATTTATAGAGTTGGTATGAAACACATTGGTGTGCATATTCTTCATTCAGAAATGTCCCCACCAAATGTTGCCTACTGGGTCAGCCTTCTAATACTAATTGAATTGTTCTTGGTGCAAGGAAAACATTTAAAGAAAAGATGAATCCTGCAAGAAATGGAAAGCCTCCCTAAAAACTATGTGAATCTCAAACTGGAATTGTGATAAACTCTCCCAAGACATCTGAACGGATTTCACTAAACCTCTCAGAATTTTCAAGTGTATTGAAGAGTCTCCTTTTGGCTTTCAGAAACTTAACAGGATCCAGTGGCCTTCTGCACAACTCAGCTAATTGTATGAAAGAAATAGGGGTTGAATGGAGCTTTGAAGGCACTCAGCGACATTATTAAGAAGTTGAGGGGAAGTTCAGTAAAAAAGACAAGAAATCACATCACAGGATGGTATGCCAGCAGAAATCGATAATTGAAGCTCAGTGTGTGATCTCACCAATGTAGAGTTACACACAGGCAACCAACCTTGCTTGGCATGTTTTGAAGACTTTCTGATAAGAATCTGCAACTATGACTAGCAGCTGAAAGTAAGCAGGAAGTCTAGCCTTGGGCTGAGTATCTCATGATTTGGTGTGTTTCCTTGTATTTTCCTTTACTTAGCAAACAGGTAATTTGCTGGATTCTCTGCTAGCTGTCTTTAAAAGTATTAATATATTTAAGCTTGGAATGCTTTTGAGTCTAGTGTGATTCACTGAGTTCTTGCTTGTGCAAAGTGCTACACTGGTTGCTATGGGAGAATACAAAAATATAAAAGACAGTTCCTGACCATAAGAAAATCCCATCTATTTTAGGACATATGAGACATATAGAATAAAAATTATATAAGTGTGGTTACAGAGGGATTTGTAAGCAGTTTCTTATCACTCAGTCTCTGTTCAGATGCAATGTCTTGAAACCAGGCCCTCCCTGGCTACCCTTTTTAGAATAATGGCCTGCCTCACTTTCTATCACCTTTTGGCCTCTATCCTGCTCTATGGTCTTTCTGACACCACTATCTGAAGTTAAATTATTTCCTTATTTACTCTGCTCTTAGGCATAACATAACATGAACTTTGTTTTGTGCTCTTCTATATTCTTAGCACCTAAAACAATGTTAGACATACTAGGTGCTCATTAAACATTTGTTAAATAAATGAGTGAAATACATAAAAATCAACTGAAAATGGATTAAGATAACTTGGATTAATGGAATGTTTCCCACATTTTCCTGATAAGACTTACCTAGGCACTGGTCAGAAAAACTTGCTTAAGATTCTGATTTAGTAAGCCTTGAGTGGGGCTTACTAAATCTACATTTTTAGGAAGCATCCTAGGAGATTATTTTAATGAAACAGTCAGGAAACATGGAATTAATGCAGTGACTGAGGGAGGGTGG